CCCCCCCCCCCCCCCCCCCCCCCCCCCCCCCCCCCCCCCCCCCCCCCCCCCCGCCCCCGCCCCCCCCCCCCCCCCCCCCCCCCCCCCCCCCCCCCCCCCCCCCGCCGATGCAAGTTCATATACTCACCGTAACTATTGAGTACAAGTTTTCTTAGTTGAGTTAATAGTGGAACATTATTCGACCAATTTGAGCGAATATCAAGTGTAAGTATTATATCCAATGAATGAAGATTAGGCATGAGTTTAAATAGAGTTGACAATGAGCCATGTTTACAATTCGCTTATAAGCCACCCGACAGCAAAAATGTACCTTAGGAGAGACAACAAAGTGCGGCTTCTCTCTTTTCATCCTCTTCTTCTTCTCCCTCTTCTTAAGAAGCACATCGTCAATGACAAGCAACATTGTCTCATCTCTTTTATCTTTTAAATTCTTTGATGTTTTCTTCGTCATTTCCACATAATGGTAATAATCGATTTTATTGCAGAGATGAACAATAATGTATCTTTAGCTTGATATCGTGATAAGATACATGAAAATCGAACATGACATATATTTAGAGTAAAATATGGTATAGATAATGTTCATATCTAACTAAAGAAAAATTTATAATAACAATACATGTAGTCTAATAAACAAAAAACCATTTTTATATAGAAGAAAATAACATACATCAATAAACTTTGATAAGAGCTTCATCAAATATAGTAAGAAAAGCGCAAATGTAGAACCAATATTCAAGAAGAAATATTGACTTAAGTAGAATAATATTGTTTAAAAGTCTGTAATTTTTAATTCGTCCCATAAACCGCTCTATATGTATGCGATGGCGAGCGATGATTCTGGTTTGTATCACCTTTTCAAATGATAGTTGCGGTTGTCTTTCGAGAAATGGTGGATGCACCAACGTAAGATGAGAAAATTTACGTTCCAATGAGAAACCTTGATCTGACATCACCTGATCACCATCTTCGAGAAGTCCAATCAAATTACCAGGTCCTTCCATGTTTAAAAGAGCTCGATCAGTTGTGGCACCACGATACAAAGAAGAGATATATGACACTACACCGTTCGGTGACATATCAATAAGTTCTGAAAGATAAATAGTATCGAGTGTTAACACAATCAATCATTAAAATGTTCCGACGTTTAGATCATTGTCAGAGCACAAGAATGACATCGTCTCCTTCTCAAAATTTCGTCACGTTGAATGCGATACGTTTAAAAGAAAACTAGGAATATCTCAGATAGACAAGCATTAGTGAATAATCAAACAAATCAAATTTACGAAACTACTTACCTTTAGCTGTATTGATATTCTTGTAGTTTGACCATGTATTCTGTTGCGCTTGTGGATTCTTTGGTTGTTCAATCTCAAATTCTGTACAATCGATGATAACACGTACTGTTGGATAATTTTTCTTCCTTTCAAATGGAAGATTTTGTTGTACTTTTTCTCTTGATTGCCAGATAGATATTGAAGAGAAAACACAATAAACAAACCGAGTCCACGATATAATGATTTTACTAACAGTAGAATGAGATAAATTAAAAAAATATCCTGAAAAACAGAATATAAAGACGAACGCAAGCCAAAATGAACTTATCAGTTCTTGTAGATCAGTTCCACGTCGTAATCGGATCATAAGTAAAAAAAATTGATTCTTTTTTGGACAGTTTGTATGTGTCTCCTAACTTATTATACTGCAAACCATATTCTGGTCGAGTGGAATATATTATAAAATGTTTATCATAATAACGCTGAAGTAAAAAACAAAATTATTAAAGAAATCATACTTCGAAAGATTAGATTTCTTACATCTAATAAGTCAAAAACCATTTCAAAAACATTATAAGATTTGAAACCAGTATAATAATTTACATAATAATCATCATTTTCAAAACGCTCAGTATATATTGTCGTGTTAAAAACACTTCGCTCAAGAAGTGATAATTTGTCTAATAAAGTAGTTAAAGAAGCCATATCGATATCCGTTTGAGTATCTATTGAGTTTGATGACATTGTTCCAGTGCTAGTAATCGTCGTAGGTTGAATTTCCATAGGTACTGTAAATGATTTTAATCGTGTTCGACTACTTTCATTAATCTTTTTCTTTGATTTCGTTATAAAAGACGACGGTAAAAAATGAGAACTACAAACAACGTGGTTTGAATATTTATTTAAATCCGGACGATTGAGTCGTTTAAGCCATGCTTGTCGTAGATTAGCGTTTTTTGGAAGATAGTGAAAAGTAATATTTTGCGATGATCCTTCTCGATTAGTGCAAGCAATACATGATTTCACCATGTTTGTTCAAGTAGTGACTATTGAAATATGATATACATCGTTCTCTTCGATTCATCATAAGTTATTATGGATCACGTAGACGGATCATCTCATTATTCCATAAATAGAGAGCTGATCATTAATCAGTAACATTATGACAAAACGTTAATTGAACCCAATTAGCCAATTATACATTGACACTTCGTTTGATGTAATCTAATTAATTCAATGAAGAGAATAAATAACAATATCATTTGTGTTTTTTTTCATTTTTGTCTCTACCTTTTCAATCTACGTTCTTTCTCATGGCAAGCACATTTTCATCTTCATACATATCAATCATTGATTATAAACGTCCATTTAACATTGATGCAAGCTCGATTACAGAATATTTTTGCTCCGTATTAGCATCTGATGGAAGTCTAGATCGTGGTGCGCTGCGAAATGGCAACATTCTATTTAAAAATCACTTTGTTCATTCTATTTATATTAGTCGACGATACATTGAAATAACAATCACAGCAAAATGTCGAGCTCAAATGAAAAAAGCAGTTACTTATCAAGTGAGTCATTTCATACCTTTGAAGTAAAAAGATTTTTATTAGAATGTCTTGGCTTTCGCGGTGTTATTGTCTGGTATGGGATCTATAGAAAGGAAGTGGTCTTAATGAATATTGTACTTGAAATTCTTCACCGTTTCTATTTTTCGTAAAAAATAGATGAAATATTTGATTATTAATAGTAACGAGGATCTTTTTTTAGTTAAAATTAATTATGAATAGCAGTCGTTCGGCAGATATTATACATGGATATTGTAAATGTGTAGCTGGACAAGGACCTAGAGCTGGTTGCAAGCATCTCGCAGCATTATGTTCTGGATTGTTAGATTATGATGATAAAAAACTTTATGATGCATGCACTCAAAGACTACAAGAATAGCACAAGCCTACACGTCGTTCGACAAATCCGGTTGCTTTACTAGATATTGATTTTGGCTGCCTTCGTCATAATGCAATAAAACAGGAAGTACCCCAATATTTAACATTTCTGAAAGATTATAATTATGTGCCTGGTACACAAGCAATTCTTCAACAGTTACTCGTTAAGTACAATCAACAATCAACATTTGCTGCTTCGTTTTTTTTATGGGTTTAGTACAATTAGAAATCAAGAATAGAAATATTGCTAATCAATCAGTTCGTTGGCTCTTCAGGCAGTACAGACGCATGCTCTATATCCCGATCAGGATATAGCCAAAAAATATATAGTCCAATCGGGATATAAATTCGATTTTTTGAAATAAAATTTATTAGCGAAAAAATGATGATGTTCGCGGAAAGTTTTGACATCACCATTAGAAAGAGGAGGAAAAACTACACTAGATTCTTTTTTCCTCATGGTTAACTCATTTTTCCTGTCAGCAATCTTTTTTTAAATAATTCTCGAGGTTCATATTCTATATCCCGATCAGGATATTTTACTTTTTTTACTAGCTATTTTTAACACTTTCTCGAAATATCTTGACATTTTCTCTTTTTCCTTTCATGTATTA